AGAGACGGTTTGACCGAAGTCCAGAATTTGCCAAGCAATACGAGGCAGTGATGAACGACTATATTGAAAAGGGGTATGCTGTGAAGTTGTCCGCTGAGGAAGCCGCCCACACGAGTAAATGCACATGGTATTTACCACACCACGGTGTAATTAACCCGAATAAAGCAAAGGTCCGAGTGGTGTACGATGCGGCTGCAGAATTTGGCGGGACATCCCTGAATAAAGAACTGCTGCAAGGACCACAGCTGAACAATTCTCTCGTTGGAGTTCTGATCCGATTCAGGAAAGAGGACGTAGCCATAGCCTCTGATATCGAGAGCATGTTTCACAGAGTAGTCTGCAGGGAGGAGGATACAGATGCCCTACGGTTCTTATGGTGGAGTGAAGGCGTCGATAAGCCACCGAGTGATCACAAAATGAATGTGCATTTGTTTGGAAAGACAGACTCTCCATCGATTGCAGCCTGGGCTTTAAAACGAACAGCTGCAGACAATGAATCCGAGTTTAGCAAGGAAGTGTGCGCTATTGTCTCCAAGAATTTCTATGTAGATGATGGATTGTTTTCTGTGCCTACCACTGAACGAGCAATTGATGCTTCACTGCAGTTGATGGAGTTGTTGCAAAGAGGGAACTTTCGGTTGACAAAGTTCGTGTCCAACGTCAAGCAAGTATTAGCTGCTATCCCAGCCGGGGAAAGAACGGTTAAAAACCTGGATTTGGACAAGCTTCCTATCGAAAGAGCGCTGGGTCAGCAGTGGGATACCGAGACCGACTCGTTGGGAGTGAAGGTGTCACCTTTACCGAAGAAGTTAAATGACGACACGAGGCGAGGGTGTTTGTCAACCATGAGCTCCACGTTCGATCCGCTGGGCATGATTGGACCGGTTTTGCTCCCAGCTAAGAGAGTCCTCCAAAGGACCTGGCAGCTTAAACTTCAATGGGACGAGAAATTGCCAGACGACTTGCTGAGAAGCTGGACAAAGTGGAGAGAGCAGTTGGAGCTCCTCAATCAAGTCAATATTCCTCGTTGTTACTTCCCTGGAGGCTGCCATGCTGGTAAATCATTCCAGTTACATCACTTCAGTGATGCCTCTGAATTTGGTTATGGGACAGTGTCCTATTTGAGAAGAGAAACATGGGATGGAATGGTGAATTGTTCATTTATCATGGCCAAAAGCCGGACGGCTCCTCTTCAGTACGTTTCTGTCCCGAGGCTCGAGTTACAGGCTGCTACGATAGCAGCAAGAGTTCACAGTATGATCATAAGGGAAATAGACTTGAATATTTCTTCTACCTTCTTCTGGACAGATTCCCAAATCACGTTGCAGTACATCAGAAACGAGTCCCGTAGATTCAAGACCTATGTAGCAAACCGTGTATGTGAAATAAGGCAAGTTTCCGAGCCGACCCAGTGGAGACATTGTCCAGGAAACCTAAACCCGGCAGATGATGCATCTCGTGGGCTTTCAGCTCAACAGCTTTTGAGCAGCGATAGGTGGTTCGCTGGCCCAGCCTTTTTATCCCAACCAGAGGCAGAGTGGCCGACCACTGAAATTGGCGATCTACCAGAGAACAACTTAGAAGTCAAGGTGGAAAAGGCTATATTCACTTTGCAGTCACCCAATAGCATGCACGAATTTCTTGTAAGGTATTCTTCCTGGTCAGTGCTGTTGCGAAAGGTAGCCTGGTTGTTAAAATTCAAGTCATATCTAAAGAAAGATAGAGACAGCAGCAGTTCAAAGTACTTAACGACAGATGACCTACAGAAGGCTACAACTGCTGTAGTAAGGCTGGTGCAGAATGAGGCGTATGCCGATGAGATGGGCGACTTGGAAAAGGGAAAGAACGTCAAACATTCAAGCAGAATTGTCAAGCTTCGGCCAATGTTGGATAATGGAGTAATGCGAGTTGGAGGACGCATTTCTGAAGCTGCCATTGCCTTTGGAGCCAAGTTCCCAATGATCATGCCGCCAGGGCATCATGTCACCCAGTTGCTTATTGCAGCCTTCCACCAACGGCTAGCGCACGCTGGTCAGAACCACATACTGGCAAGTTTAAGGGAGCAGTTTTGGATACCTCGAGGGAGGTCTGCTGTGCGTAAAGTAGTACGATCCTGTTTAAAGTGCAAGAAGCAAAGGGCAGCCACTATGGAGCAGATGATGGCCACCCTACCAGCGTTTCGTACTACGGCTTATCAACCATGCTTCACTCACACTGGCGTCGACTATTTTGGACCGTTAAACGTGAAAAGAGGGAGAGCCGTGGTCAAGAGATGGGGTGTCATATTCACCTGTTTGAATTCCAGGGCCGTGCATCTGGAACTGGCTACTTCTCTAGAGTCAGACTGCTTCATCAATGTTCTAAGAAGATTCATGAATCGAAGAGGCCCACCCAAGTGTATTTACTCGGACAATGGGACAAACTTTGTCGGTGCAGAAAGGGAAATTAGAGAAGCGATAGAAGACTGGAACCAGAAACAGATCTTGGATGAACTACTTCAGAAGGGATGTCAGTGGGCGTTCCAACCGCCAAAGGCTTCACACGCTAGCGGAGTCTGGGAGAGACTAATACGTAGTACCCGCACAGCCATCAAGGCCATACTCGGTGAGAGCCTAGTGAATGAAGAAGTATTAACAACCGTCTTAACAGAAGTTGAGGCTATTCTGAATTCTAGACCACTTTGCGCTGCGTCCGATGACCCAAATGATAGTGAACCCTTGACTCCTAACCACCTGCTGCTGCAGAGGGCTGTTCATGTTTTACCTCCTGGAGTCTTCGTAAGAGAGGACATGTTTTCTAGGAGGATGTGGAGACAGGCACAAGTTCTAGCTGATCATTTCTGGAAGCGATGGCTAAGGGAGTACATCTCAGGTTTACAGGAGAGACAGAAGTGGCAGCGACCCCGCCGGAATGCTGAGATTGGAGACCTTGTGCTACTAGTGGACGACTGCTTGCCTAGAGGACAGTGGCGTATGGGTCGAGTCATTAAAGCAGTTCCCGGAAGAGATGGACTTGTCCGGACAGTAGTAGTGAAAACGGGCGCGTCAACCACATTAGTACGTCCTATACAGAAACTTTGTTTGCTGGAAGAATCAGGAAATCTCCAACGAGATTAGAGACAGACAAGTATAGGAACAGTGACACTATATTGATTGACATTCGTTTATTACTTGAACTTAGTAGGCGTGGGAACCCATGCCTAGTTTGTGTTTGTAATGCTTCACTAAGTTCGCATGGGGTGGGGTGTAGCGGCTGGGTTCCCTGTTTCGTTTTGTTTTCCCGCCTTTAGAGGTCATGTGACTTTGTTTTTAGTTGCCTTTTGATACGTTTTAGCGAGTGTTTGCAGCTTGGGCATTCACTCGAAGTAACGACCAAAATTGATCGGTTTCGACGCATTGACGACTGTATTGTTTGGAACTTTGTCTTCGTGTATTGTCACGATTCAAGATTGTAGCCGTCCTTGCAGTATTGGAAATAAAGGTCCGTAAACAAGAGTGAATTTCGTCGCTACAACTTTATTTTTTCTTTTTCAGCGGTTTACTGAAAATTGTTTATCCGTTGCTATGCAACCCAGCGTATTATGAATCGCTACCGTTTTTTTCAAAATCACTCTAAATCACTATAAAACACCATGTATTGTTTCTTTTTGGCAGTTGCCTGATGATTGCTTCTCAAGACGCATGAAACTCTGAGTAGCAAGTAAATGTTTTTGACCTACAATCACGGACAAAAGTAGTTGGGAAGGTGGAATAAGTTAGCAACATTATTGCTCCATTTCATACGCCTTATGTCTATGTTAAAAAAAGATTATTTGTTCTTCTCCTGAATACCCCCCGCGCCCCCTATTCAATGTTGGGACATGTAACAACAATTACGCACAAAAACAATTTAGTTTTGTCCAACATTGATCCAGGGGCGGGGGGGACAAGTACAAAAAAGGTAAAAATTGGTAACCTTCCCAACATTTTTGACGATGATTGTAGTTCAAGTCTACGTATCTATTCAAAGCTCTGGTAAACCCATTGAGCACTTTTTAGTTGATGATCAATTTGAATTTCGTCATTTCATCTTATATATGTATATATATATATATATATATTTATTATTCATTCAAAATATTTCCCCGATTCTGATTGGCTAAATTAATTCAATTCAC